TCTGTATAATAATTTAAAAATTAAATTGAGAATTTAACCTACCCTAGATAGTGGACCGACCCCCAATGACACTCGCCGTGAAGCCCATCCTTCTGTTTCCTGACAATTTCTGCTACAAAATGCCCGAACCCCTTCTGTCCCTCTCTTTTTTCCTTTTTTTTTTTTTTTTTTCCCCTTCTGACGTCTCTCACTCTCTTTCAGGTTTCATGTACCCAATCTCAGGAGTCAGGAGCCCCGACACCGCCACCAACCACCACCACCACCGGTCCACCACTCACTCTCTCTCTCTCTCCAAAAAGTCAAAACATCCATGCATGATGCATGCAAACAGTACTTTGTGTACAATCTTAGAGAACAAAAGAAAATAATTCACATCATATCATGGTTACATCTCTTAATATATATATTCAGACATCTAACCAATGGCTGCGTAGATAGAAGCAATTATGAAAAAAGGACAGCAATGAAGAAATATCAAAAAGAGTCCAAATTAGCAATTAATGGAGTATTTGCAGTGTTAGTTCCTATTGGAGATAAATGTTTTGAGCACTGTTTCTTTAATTTGATCAAGTAAAGACTTTTTTGTATATGTTGAAGTACCCTCTTGATTCCCCGAAATGGATTTTCCATTTTAATTGATAAAAAACATGCAAACAAGACATGTCTATATCTCAATTATATAGTAGTTTTGATTCTAATTATTAATCATAGCAACCCCTATCATTAACAATGAGAACACATGATTTTATCGTTTTTACGTGTCAAAATCTTACTAATGTGTTACATTTGTGCATATAATCGCATGAATTTTTTATGTTCCACGTGTTGACGTTACATTAATCGTGCTATTCTAGCAAGGGATATACACATACGTCTGGTCACATTACACAACAAACCCTAGCTAAAAGGATGACATTTTTTGGGGAATAAAGTCAACATGGGAAGCTCAATGATGATGATGATGAATACAACTAATGGAGTTTGATCTACGATGATGGATGAATGTTCAGGTGTTTACAACTATGAATAGGGTCCCACTTTGATGAATTATTGTTTAGGATGTTTGCGTGATTGACGTTGAAATCTATATTAATCTATGGTTTTTTCGAGTTTTTCTTCCTTTAGTACAGATCTCCTCGAATCTTACTAACTACAAGAGAGAAGAGAGCATAATTATAATATGAATGTATTATTGTTCAAAAAGCTCTTAACTAAGTCTTCATCACAACTCCAAAGCCTGACCCACCTTGTCTCCTTCTTTCAGTCTCTTTCTTAAAGCTCCCAACTTGTTTCAATTTCAAACTCATTGTTACCTAATGTCAAAATTTCTCGTGCAAGAATAAGAACTTATCAAACCTCGTGATATGAAATTTCATGATTTTTTCGACCGTTAGATTGGACAAGGATCTTGATTTTTGAATATTATAATCAACCATGTGTTGTGTGACCCTTTTGAATGGATTCCAGATATCAATATTTTATAGTTATTTTTCCCTAAATATGGACCTAATTAATTTTCTGTAAGTAAAAGCCTGGGGAGGGCAATACCTACGGTTTTTTGCCATATAGCTACGATTTTTGTCCGTAGCTATATGGCAATTTTACTTAATTAGTGTAATATGACTAAATTATTTAACAAAAGTTTAATTGAATCTGTAATTATTTACTGTAAGTTACAAAAATATGAGGGCTTGAGGCTCCAGTTGGTACTAGCTAGTTTTTATAGGGTTAGTTCTTAAGTCTTATCAAATATAGATAGTCAAGCTAGCTAGCTTTGTTTTGATTCATTTAGGGTTTTTTAGATTCTATCTCGCTCTTTTTCGAATGGCATTTTTCTATATTCGTACAGTATAGGTAAGGGATATAGATGTTTCTAATAACCATTCATGCATCATGTGTTTAATTATTCTTCCCTAAGCTCCCTAACATGGGGTTTACGGAATGAGACCTGAAATTATTATGCACATAGATTTAGGACTTAGATTAGGGATCTCCATTATTTAAAAACGAAATGCTTTTATTCAACCTAACGCACCTTTTTTGCTTTATTATGTGGATCCAATGATTTTTCATTTGGGTACCCTTGGGAAGGATAGAAAAATAAAAGCTTGCTAGAGCTGGTCCCACTACCCACTATGGGGCTCAAGGAGAGTTGGTCTCACTCAAAATGCAAAGCCTATACTGAAGTGACATTCGAACAAGTTGATGAGTAGTGAGCAGTGACTAGTCATTCTCGCAAAACTATCAAGATTTTAAATTTCACATACATTTGGTTTTGACATTTGGGGCCTTCTTTGTAGCACTCATCCTTGGCATTGAATTGTCTTTCATATCAAATGGGTGCTTCTAATTTTATCCAATGTTTATAAAGAATTAATTCCAATTTCTTTGCATAGGGTATATGCTTTTTTGAGTTGAATAGTGGAATAGATAATAAAAAAGAAATACATGATAAAGTGTTGAAATTATATAGTTAAAATACAAAATATAAGTTATTAAATAAATAAATTATTAAATATATTATTAAATCTTCATTTAAAAGTATTGAATTACAAAACACCATGCTCAATTACCTAAATGAAATATTTTTAGACGAAAGAGATCAAACATAGGAGAGAGAAATACAAACTTTGTCAGAGGGAAGGTAGACAAAAACACAAGGTTTTCTCCACTAATGGAGGATCAAAGACACATGTGAAGGCAGTGAAGCTGTGTATCAAACTCTGGTAGGACCCTCCCACGTTGGGCATGTAGGGACCACATGGGCACTGACCCCAAAAAAATTGAACAAAAAAATTAACCCTCCTTTTTTTCTTTGTGCCCTAATTTGGGTGGAGGAAGGAACGTCCAATAGTCAATAGATAAACTTTGAGAAGTGGGGACCACATTGTTGATTAATTAAAAACAACGGTCTGTCTTGGTCTTGTTGTAATGGTTTCCACCATCTAATCTAAACCCACTTTTTGGGAGGCTTAATCATACTTGCTTTCCTTGCGTTGTTGATTGAAGAGATGCCAATATTATCATTTTAAGATCGCCCGAATCTCACCCTGTCCCACCCAGTGCTGCTAATCAAGGAAATTTAACCAATGAGGGAGACTTTAAAATTTATAATATTTAAGGAAAAGCTGATTAGGGGACATGATCCTATCATAATACAAACCCACCCATTAACCTTTTTCTAATCATCTTTTGTTTTCTTTTGCAAAGCCCATTAATTAACTTTGGAAGGAACAAAAAAGGATAAAAAGATAGAACTCAAATGAGACTTAGTTTTCAAGTTGAAATCCTTTTTATGGATATGTTCAAAGCACTTTTAAGCAATCCAAACAATGTGGGTGTGACTCAATAAGCCCTTTCCATGTATTCCAAGTGACACTACTACTTTCTTTATAGATATAAAGGAGGGGTAGTTTGGGTGGAGTTAGCTTTAAGTCATGTGAAATGACCCTAAATTAAACAAACCACATGAGCTAAACCCTGGCCAGACTAAGGTCTAGAATGTCTACATATAATTAAAATAGGAATAAATTTGCAATGGCATCAAGCTTTTCAAGTTTAATAAATTAAATATTATAGCACAATTGAAAGCCTTGTGAAATGAAACTTGGGTCAATCAATGAGACAAAATAAATGTGCTTTGGTTGTTAATAAAGTGCGACACTTAGACGGCTACATACTCACAAGACACACCATATAACATCTAACCCGCAGACCCATATGGGTTGTGGGGGAACATTTGCACATGACATGACAAAAATTATATTGAGAAATTTCTTTTTGAAATCGAAAGCACCAACTTCTTCCCTACGTTTGACAAAAATCCTATGCCACGTGCTTCCCCTTCTTAGCTTGCCACTTATTTTGATTTTGACAAAATGATCATAATGCACATAGTAACTCCATTTTGCCAAAAAATAATATATATATATATATATATATATCCCATAGTTTTAGTTTCACAATATTTGAAAAATAATTACTAATTTTTAGTTGTAGATATGAAAAATAACCCTATAAGAAGTTAATTTATCAATATTTTTAGATGTGTTACCAATAAAATTGGTAAAGTTTTTCAATTTTAAATCGAATCTTACTGTAAAAAAGATTTTCCTTTTATGTATCACATGCATCAAAATAAAAGTATTAAAATAATCATCTATATTATGGTACTAGATTCTAAATACCTACTCTGTTAGTCTAACAGAAGAATGGGATCTGACTTAAAAGCAATATAGTATGGGTACTAAAATTCCATTTAATTATAATACAAGCATGTGCAACTAGGTATCTTGGAGAAGGGTCCAAGCAATTACTATTTGCTGATCCACAACGATGAGATTATTTTAAGAAAAAATCTTCAGAGAAACAACCTTGGAGTTGTGGAGGAATTTGTCTCTTGCAAGGACCAAGTAGATGCAAAGCCTTTTACCTTAAATTACAAGTTGTTTTTCAAATGAACGTAGGTCAAGACAAGTTTTGATTCATTTAATATATACCTGCCTTAATTTCAACTTTGCATTAAATCATCCCTAAATGTGTTTGTTTCATATTTTCAGCTTAAGTTGTAGTCAATAGACAGATAACCAGCACAACAAGGTGTCGCTATTTGATCTATTAGTATAGTAAACCCATTTTTACAAGTTAATTAGATTATTGATTGCTGCTGTCATCTTTTAGAGTTTAAACCAATCACTTGGGCTTTGGAGGCGAATATAGTAAGCTGCGACTATGTATGGTTGGTCTTAGGTAAGAACATGAAAAAGGTAAAAGTTATATGAAAACTTCTTGATCAAGTATAAGTTACTCTCAACGAGGGTTAGAACCAAGACTTAGGGCTAATTCGATGGTAGGGACGTGTAACCAATCACAGGCCTTATAATGATCCCATTGATGCTCTCAATTTTTACTTTTATGTAATTTAACAAACATTTCTTTTCTTTTTAATGATATAATTACCTTTTCTTTAAGAGTAAAATTCAATTGTTGATTTTTAATATAATCATTGAAAGACTTTATTAACTCCGCATGCGAATTATGTGATTTAATCAAACTAAACGGATTTATTTTATGTCATTTTTACATATAGGAACTGCATGTGAGCAACAAAATTGTCAAATGAGTTGTTATCATCATCTGAATTCTTGAATCAGTAACATCAATGGGAATGTTCAAAGCAAGCTACATATGGAAACTGCCTTAGGATGGTGGGGTCCTGACTCGCTTCACATCTTTGACATTTAATTTATGTCAATTCCTAATTCATTTTTTTAATTTCAGCGTGAATTAATGAATCTTCATTGGATTATGAAATCATAATAATTGCAGTGAAGGAATTGTATACTTCCTATACTTTTGACATGATTGAGGTGGTGGTTGGATATCTAGTCACTGATCATTACGTTTTAAGCTATTAATTTAACAAAGAAAAATTTGCTTCATATACAGTAGAACCATCCATAAACTTGCAATGGTTTTCATGTCAGCTACGTATACGGATACGTATCCAATACAAAATCGACAACAATACAACATACATGGAGTCACAAACACTATCTAATCACCAGATACTGGGACAGAATTTCTTCTATGGGTAAAACAAAGACATGAAATCCTATTACATGACAAGAACTACATGCGTTGAGCATGCTGCTGTGTGGAGTAGAGGATGAAAAGAGCCGCATTACTCCATGAATGCTTTCAAATTTTGATTCACCATAATGGATCACACCGTGACAGGCCCCAATGAACAACATTTGCAGGCACCCATAGAGGGAAAAGAATAGAAGAAATGATACAAGATTTTAGCAGGCAGCAAACTGCTGGCCCAATACATCAAACCCTATTGGGGACACATTTAAACCTCTTAAACTAAACAAAATCATCTAGATCAATACCACTTCAACCAAGCTTTTTGTCTGAACCCTTGAGATTCAAATTGAACCATTTCTTTCTGCCGGATTTATCCTTTCCATCTGAGCCTCCATCTTCCACTGGACTCTCAGCCTTAAAATCTTCACTAGGAACTTTGCTAGTACTTCCATTACTTGAAGTACTGTTAACAGTATTCAAAGCCCTGGCTACGGTGAATGAAGCCTGAATGCTATCACGTTGTTTCAGCATCTCATCTACCTGGGTTGTGTGAAGAAAAATGGAAGTGAAGATATACTGGCCATTACCATGTCACAATATGGAGAAAAACTGAAAACAATATGGACATGCAGCAAACGTCTAAGCAAATATGAGATAAATATTTGTATGTGCATGAATGCATTTTTCAAGAGTCAGTTTACATGGAGGAAAGACTGCAAAATAGCAGGATAAAAATCCCTGAAAAAAGAACCAAGATGTCAGAACATACAGCTTGCTTTTCTTGGCTGTATCTGTTGGTCACTTCTTGAAAGCGTGCCAATGCCTAGAAAACATCAAACCAAAATTATAAGATCAAATGGGGATAAATCCTCACTAAGAGCCTGGACTAAAACAGTTGAAAATACTTTTCTGTATTCTGTCTCGAATTGGCGCAATTCATTTCTCTTTCTTAAAATTTGAGCCTCAATGTCCTTAAGCTTCTCAGTTGTATCCTCGTATGACTTTGCACAAAGTGCCTCAATTGTATATGCAGCAGTCTTGAAAAAATTATCTCCTGATCATGGATCATGTCAGTAAAGCTAACCATACAAAATTTCTAAATCACAACAAACTAAATTAACAGGCAAAAGATAAGTTGTTCAGACCATAAACAGCGAATATATGTGTGCCAGCTTTTAATTCTGAAACTTCACAAGGTTGAAGACCTTCCAACCTTTTAAAGAAAGCAGATTCAGGGTCTTTAGCTATCGCTAACTGAAAAAATAAAATCATAAAAATAAATAAATAAATAGTCTCTTGAGACACGACAGGAAGTAGGATGAGCAAGAAAGATATATCAATGCAATGACCAAACTCACATACCGCATTTACAGTGGCATCCATTCTGTACACTTGAAAATGCAAGAAATACATGCCTGCAGAAGTCACCTTGCCTGTCTTTTCACTATCTTCCTGCACACAGACAATGAGAAACTGAGTGTATGGCATACTAAAGATATACATATAATTTCTTTTGGTCATCTAGAAATGTGGATTGCTGGGTTAGATGGAATAATAGTGGATATTCAAACCATTGTTCATATCACTGGATCCAAAAAAAACTGAAAAGGAAAACCATCAAAGACTGGGTGCATTTTACCTGTAAGGCTAAACCATAGCCACCATTCGCATCTTGCTCAAAATAAAGTAACTGAAAATTTAAAGAAGTTAACAGTGAATTTTTCATTTCTTGCAACATTAAATAATATCAATGACAAAGTAGGATGGAGAGAGAGGCACACAAAAACCTTTGTGTAAAGATTCCATATGTACTACCTTGAATTTGCTTTGTGCCGTTGATGTAACTCTCACGACAATCCCTGCCTCAGCTTGTTGTTCATTGATTGTCACACCGAAGAAGTGGGCACATTGCTTGTCTACCTGTGGAAAAATGCAGAAT